TACTTGTGATATTTCCGTTAGTAATGTTTGTTTATTGTTAAGCACAAATCTATACGTTGGGCTGTCAGTGCTGTGTCCACCTCTCTGCTTTTGTGTTACTTGTGATATTTCCGTTAGTAATGTTTGTTTATTGTTAAGCACAAAGCTACACGTTGGGCTGTCAGTGCTGTGTCCACCTCTCTGCTTTTGTGTTACTTGTGATATTTCCGTAAGTAATGTTTGTTTATTGTTAAGCACAAAGCTACACGTTGGGCTGTCAGTGCTGTGTCCACCTCTCTGCCTTTGTGTTACTTGTGATATTTCCGTTAGTAACGTTTGTTTATTGTTAAGCACAAAGCTACACGTTGTGCTGTCAGTGCTGTGTCCACCATGAGTATTAAAACTATTTTTTTTAATGTCATAAATTCTGACACATATGCTGAGCGACTTGGGTGGGTGCTATTAGTTACGCAAGTTGTATTTATTCCAAAGCTACTAAGGCTATTTGCTTATTGACCATAATTTTGAAATACTGACCAGAGGGAAGACGTCTAGTGAATAACACCCTACCATCCACACTAAGGGATTGACTATCATTCTTATAATGCATCCACTGCTTAAAAGTGCAAGAAATATATGTGGTATCACACGGATTTCTCCAAAATCCAGACTGAACTCTACCACAGGGCCAACCATGCTCTGTATATGTACGAGTTTGTTAACAGAAAAAGTAAATAAATAGATCTGATATCGCAGGCAAAATTTTGTAGTTTCACTGAAATATATAAAAAAAGGTTATTCTGTGATGAAGTTTGCATGCTATGCAAGACAAGCATCCAGAGTGGCCAAAAAGTTAATTACCCCCCACACACAAGTCTCTTCTGTGTGGATAAAACTCAATGATTATTTATCAGTCTGTTTATGCCTTGCTTCACAGATATTCATACATTTATCTGAAACAGTTGAAAACTTACATTGACAACACCTTGCTTCACAGATATTCATACATTCATCTGAAATAGTTGAAAACTTACATTGACAACACCTTGCTTCACAGATATTCATACGTTCATCTGAAACAGTTGAAAACTTACATTGACAACACCTTGCTTCACAGATATTCATACATTCATCTGAAACAGTTGAAAACTTACACTGACAACACCTTGCTTCACAGATATTCATACGTTCATCTGAAACAGTTGAAAACTTACACTGACAACATTTCAAAAACATTTACTTGCTCTAAGAATATTAAGGTTTCGCAAAACTTATCTATTTCTTATCTGTACAATTTATTCAGCTCAAAAGTGAACTACTGCATTTCAACCTTATTTAAATAAAAAGGATTTTTTTTCAGCATAAATCTTGCTAATGTACCCCACCATAAAAACTAATTAAAAACACGTTGAAGACAGTTAAGCAACTAACGAAAAAAAGTCACTTGAGTAAGAAGTAAATTATGAATATGATTTTTGTAAACATGATATTTATCACTGTATCATTTAAAATAATCATTTATATAAATATGTATACATATTAATAGGGGACATGTGGCCTAGTGGTTAACATGCTCTAACTGCGAATCAAAGGGTTCATGTTACAAAAATACTTGTCCCCCTGGAGGGACAATGGTAAGTTTACGGACTTACAATGCTAGAATTCAGGGTTCGATTTCCCGCAGTTGACACAACAGGTAGCCTATTGTGGCTTTGCTTTAAAACAAACAAACAAAACAAAAGTACTCCATCACACTTCAGGGCCATGGGTGCGTTATAACAATGACAGTCAAATCCCACTATTCAGTCTCAAAAGCATAGTCTAAGAGTTAGCGGTAAATGTTGTTGACTAGTTGTCTTCCCTCTTGTCTATCATTTGAAAATTAGGAGAGGCTAGTGGAGATAGATAGTATTTCCTTCAGCTTTTCACAAAAATTCTGAACAGTTGTATGTAGGAATTTTTTTTAACGATAAACTTAATGAATAAATAGATCTTTCTAAAACCTTGTTTTCTATGAAATATTATAAATAAGGATGTTAAAAAATTCACCACTTATATGTTAGCACTCTGTTTTCATAACTAACTGTTGTGGGTTTTGTTATGTTATTAATTACAATATCCAATCAAACTGTTTGTTGTGAATGCATAACGTCAGTTGTTGGGATCATTCAGTACTAATCTTTACTTTATAGGCTAACAGATTTGAAGAAACAGAGAACTTGAAACTGGAAAAGGCAGACGGAAAGGAGTCGCGTGAAGAAACTGTTTTATCCGACAGATGTAGCTGTTAGCTTAATATCAAGGCAATGAATGTATTGGCATGCGCTAAACAATATGAAGGTACATGTAGCTTTTTCTGGAAGCACCTAATGAAGTGTCCTTGAACATCATGTTTAGTTACCTTCAATATAACACCTAGATTTCACGAGATCCGTACAAAATCCAGTGTTTACACACTTTTGAAGAAGGTTTATAATGTTTTGTTGTGTATATATACATAGAAAACCATGAAGTCTAAACATTTTGTCATGTTGAAAGCTACATGTATGACTTACACTGCTTTAGCTGCTTACATGCTTAAACTTGTTACTGTGCTAGCTTTAAGACCTTCTTATTCTAATTGATGCTCTATTCAAATTGTTTTTTAATATTAGAATACCACTTTGTATAAGGCTCATGTTAATTAGCCCAATAGTTTCAACAGAATATCCCCCATTAGGTAACTATAATATGTTAAAGAATACAGTATTAATTTAAAGTTTAATATATGGTTAACCTGATAGAATCTGGAAATGAGTTCAGTATACAACTAGTTTCTACAAATACCGTATATTTTATTCCCACAATTTTAGAATTGCACGTATTAGGAAAACATGAAATTTTCAATCCTGACTCTCAGTATTCCGGTATGCAAAATCTTATTTATAAATAGCTAACTTAAAAAGAACTACCCTATAAATTTATCAAGCTACTGGGATAAAACAAGTTTCTTTATATATATAAATATATAGGTGATATTCTGTAGAATAGTGGAGTTAAAGATTAACCACAGAGCACCTGATAAAAACCTGAATAAAATTTAACCATTCAGTACTCTAGAAATAAATTTTAATTACAAAATTCTGTACAAACTTCAAGACACAATACATCTTAGACACATTCATTGTGTGCAATCATGTTATTGTATCAATCTGTAAGAAAAATAGAAAATTATGTTACTCTTACGTACACATTACTACATCATATTCTTATAAAAAATGTGTAAAAGACATCTAATCTTAGATGACACCAAGGAATAGTTGACAGCTTCTCTCTTTTCAATTCTAATTGATTTAAAATGACATGAAAATATGTGAAGCTGTACAAAATGACAAATGTGCATTTCTTGTTTTGTATTTTATTCTTACAAATAAAGTATATGTGTAAATTATTTACATTACAGTAGTCCATTGGAACACTTGGACTGCTTTTAACATTCCTATAAGCTTTCCATTGTTTAGAGAGTTCAGCTATATGTGATATAAAGCATGAAGTTTCAAACTTCACGATTAACGTCTATAGTTGAAAGTGCTGAAACATTAGCTAAAACTGCATTAATTTGTTGTGATTTCAAATCCTTCGTAACTGTATCAATCGTAAAATAAAGTTAGACTTGATTATCAAAACATGTTTTGTTGGCTTCTTCACCAAAATTAAGATTAATTGATTAAGAAAGGTCCTCTTAATAAAACTATAATCTTAAAAACCTAATAGCAAGTATTTTGGCTTAAGCTTTTTTTTGTTTGTTTGTTTAATGCAAAATATTTGAAAATGTTTGAAGAAACTTTCAATTCCAATATAAATTCTACACTCTTAACATCTCTTTTGAAATTATAATACTTTATAATCTTTGAAAAGCAACAGTTTTGTATCATTTTCTTCAATTAGAAATAAAATGAGCCACAGAGCAACAGAAAATAAATATCAGTATACTAACATACAACCTGGTATCTTACAATCAACGTTAAAAGTCATGGGGATGTAAAAACAGTAAAAACTACACGTACAAAAGCAAGAAAACATTCCACTAAAATTTTCCTTTAAATGAAAAAGTAGGTCTCAACAATTAAAAACAGAAACGTTTGATTGAGCGCGTGCTTTCATGGAAGAATAAATAGGCCTTAATATTAAACACAGTTTCTAAACCTTTTATTGACAGAAAAAAAAATTATAACAAGTGTAAGAACCACACAGGTTTTAAGAAATAATAATTAAAAAAAGTTCAAAACACGAATAGATATTGTGTAAAACAAATTTTTAAGCTAGTTACTCTAGTACTATTTATTGTATAGTTTAATATTGAGTTTTTAATTACCGAGAAACATATAAGCTCTGAATTCAGTATAAAAAAAAACAAATTAAAAGTGTTACTGGGTGTAATTAAAAAACAGTAACTTTAAAACACCCACCACAATGATAATTCACTACATCACTAAATATAACTTTGTCAATCCTAAGGTAAAAAAAGGAAACAAGTTACTCCATATAGAAAACAATTTAAAACTCATTTTTTTAATCTTCAGAGTGCTGAGTAAAAATGAAATTCAGTTATCTTACATATAAAAAAATGTATATTTTATTAATGAAATTAAAATTTGTATAAAGGGCAAAGCATATAAATAACATATAGAAAAGATGGAAGCTTTGCAGCTCGTTACTTTACAATCATAATTATATTCTTTGAAATAAGTTTAATTCGTTTAAAAATATATAATTCCGTTACAAAATAAAACGTCCAAAATACCTTCACTTATATTAGACTCGTTACTGCTAGTAAAACATTAAAATGGTAACTAAAGAAAAATATGATCCAAAACAGTTACTACTGTTCGTAAGAAGTTTTCATTCTTTTTTATTATAGATAACTATTGAATGAGGACATTGGTTTAATATAGTATTTCATGAGATATTTTGAAAAAAAATGATTTGATTTAGAATAAATTACATAAATCAGAAATACAACTTACCAGTGCTTATGAAAGGTTTGTTTGTTCTAAATTTCGCGCAAAGCTACACGAGGGCTATCTACGCTAGCCGTCCCTAATTTAGCAGTGTAAGACTAGAGGGAAGGCAGCTAGTCATCATCATTCACCGCCAATTCTTGAGCTACTCTTTTACCAACGAATAATGGGATTGACCGTAACGTTATAACGTCCCCACGGATGAAAGGGCGAGCATGTTTGGTGTGACGGGGATTCGAAACCGCGACCCTCAGATTGCGAGTCGAGCGCCTTAACCACCTGGCCATGCTAACACAAAAAAAAGAACATTATGTGCTTTCATCTAGCGATGGAAAATGAAACTATGAAATGTAGAAGTAATTCTCCTAAGTAGTGGTTTTTCCTTTTTTTCTTATTTTCTCACAAAAACGCGAGTAATAGGAGAAGATAATAACATTGCTCTTATATACAAATTGGGCGGGCAATTTTTTCACATCTTCTCTATCTGTTACGCAAAGTAAGTTTCATCTTAACATTTTGTGCATCAGAAAATTTCGAACTTTCATATGCGAAATTTTAATAATGTCCAAATAATTACCAAACGTTTCCAAAGACAGCACTTTATATTTTATCTATTGTCTTCAGTAATCAATTTCTTTTCGGGTCTGGAAAATTTGAAAGATCTCGCAACCACCATAAAAAATTATGAAATTAGAATAAATTATGCATCTCTCATTCTGAAAAGAACCCAAAGGGATTTAAATTGATAGTTATTGGACGAGCATCAGAACGTATTTGAGGTGCAAACATAAGGTAGTGACAGTACTACTTCTATTCTATTTTAAATAAAGGTTTTTAATAATATTTCAGTACAATCTCCATCTATTGAGAGATAACTGAACGTCCTAGTATTTTTTCTCCATCTATTGTGATAATTGAACTTCCAAGTATTTTTCCCTTATTATTTGTTTCTCCATCTATTGAGAGATAACTGAACTTCCAAGTATTTTTCCCTTATTATTTGTTTCTCCATCTATTGAGAGATAACAAAACTTCCAAGTATTTTTCCCTTATTATTTGTTTC